TAAAATTAAATACATGTTAATATTTAAATATTTTGTAAATAGTATTATACAAATTAAAGTTAGTAATTAATGCAATTTTTATTAAATTTTAGAAAATATTTATAACGAAAATAAAACGAAAATAAAATTAATTATAAATTAGGAAATAATAATATGATTTGAAATAATAAATAAGTACATATGACTAGAAAGAGATTTTTATTTATTACTTATAATTTATAATACTATACTAATATTTATATGCAAAAAATTAATTTTTTTATTAAGAAATTCATATAAATTTAATATTAAATAAATTTAAATAAAATGATTTTTCTTATACATTTTAAATAAATCTAGTATTTAAAAAACATTTTTAAATACTAAAAAAGAAACTTTGCTATATCTTTTAAAATTTTGTTAATCATAATCATCATAATCAAAAAAACTTTTAATGTTTTTTTTAATAACATCTAATTACTTTGGAAATTTTATATTTATTCATAATTTTTTTATACAGCTTTCACAAGGCACCATTAGAAACAAGAGAATTTTTTTAAAATATGAATATTAATAATTATAACAGTAATTGTTCATTATTATTCATTCAAATGAAAATTATTATTCATTCACTCGTGTACACACATCCACACAATATATATAATCATTTTAAATATATATATGTATATATTTAGGCGTTTATTCATTACTACATTACTATCAAGTGTTGACTAGTTATAATAAATCTATAGACAGATATAATTTATTAATCTATTGTAATGCTATTATATTTAAATATATTAATGAAATAAATGTTTTCATTTTTTTGAAATATTTATATTATTTAAATTTATTAAAATTTATTAATACTTTTATATTATAAAATTGAAGAATCAGTTTTTATAAATGATTTTCAACTATTTCTAATATAATAATAAGCATTAGATAAATCAAAAATTAAATTAAATTAATTTGTATGTGGCAAATTTACAAGTGAATTTAATTTTACAACTTGTACTTTTGATGTTAGTATCTTTGTTGCTTCTATATCATATGAAGACCAATATGTTATTAATTCTGGAAATCCATCTTCATTAATACAATCAATTTTAATTGAACTAAAACGAGTACGTAAATTCAAATTTGGTTGGCAATCTGCATCTCGACATAATTGAATAATATCAGTTTGACTGGCATTTCTAATTTGCACGTCAGTATAATTTACAAAAACTATTAAAACTCTTTCTACTAGTCTTCTTTCTGTAACAATAGATACTTTTTCTATATGTTCAGATGTTGAATTAATCCATTGCCAAAACTTAATGACAAATCCCGAAGTATAAGGTTTTCCAGACATAACCAAAAAAGCTGGTTTTGAAACAAAAGAATTAGGATTAACGTGATCCCATATTATTATTGGTTGATTTCCATGTTTTTGCAACGTTAGATTTACAGTAGCTTTACAAAATTCTCCTGGACATAATCCTTTGTTTTCAATGGATAAATAGTGATATGGTGTAGGATTCCAGTTATTCTCCTCATTGAATTTTAAAGTCTTAAATTTTCGAAATGTCATTGATTTCATTATCAATTTTTTTTTATATTCTGATAATTTCATAATATGTAATAATCCTTTAATAGTCATAGTTTTAATCACATCTATATAAAATAAAAAATAAAATATATAGAAATAAATAGATTTAAAATAAAAATATTAATTTTATTTTAATTATTAATCATTATTTTATTTAAAAATAAAATGTAAAATTTTTTATCATATTTATGATATGTCATTATGATTTTTTGTTTAATAATCTGATAAAAAAATGTTGAATAAAAGTTAATCTTTAAACTTATTAAATTAATTTTTAATATACTATATATTACAGGTACTTTTTTCAATAAAAAATCAAATCTTTATTTTTTATATATTACTATATATTTCTAATTTCATATTGTTGCAATGTTCAAATAAATTCAATTCTTCATATTATATTTTTGAGATAATTTTAAATTTAGAAATATGAAATATGAAATATGAAAATAAAAGAAAATAATATTATTATATAAATTATTTAATTTATAATAAATTAATGATTATGTATTATATCCAAGTACAATAAAATTCTGTGTGAAATCATTTATAATAGTAGTAATACCATATATAATTATAATTAATTATAACATTTCATTCTGAGCTAATTCAAAATATAAATAAAACAATTTATCACAATAAGATTTCTTATTTCTAAATTCAAAATCATTTCAAGGTCATAATTTGAAGAATTATTAAATTGATTTAACATTACATCAATATAAAGCCAGAAATACATAATATCATTTATTATAAAAAAAAATTTTTTTTTTAAAATTAATTTTTGAAAAAATTAAATTTAGAAATTTATCATTTATATGATTTTTTGATTGTAAATGCTTAATCTTGAATTTCTAAAAAACAAAAATATAAACGATAAAATTTTATTTTATACTTTCACATGTAAAATAACTACATATCATTTGTATATTGATTTCATTTGTATCTAATTAGCTAATCATTTAAATTTAAAAAATTGTTAAACTTGATTTACTTGAAAATGATTTAATTGAAAAATAAATAAAAATTGAATAATTTTTAAATTATTTTCACAAATAACATTACATATGATTATATATTTATATATATATCCCATGTACTTTGGAATATCCTGTATAGAGAAAATATATTAAAATTTCTAATAATTTTAATAATATATTTTTAATATATTAATTTTTTTATCTTTACAATTGATTAACAATTAACAAAGAAATATCTATAATAATTGATTTAATTTTGTAAACAAAATATAATAATATTTTTAAAAATTTTTAATAAATTTCTTTTTTAAATTTTTTCTAATTAAATTATATTTGTATCTTTTTATATTTATATTTTTTTTATATTTGTATATTCATAATTAAATTTATACTTACTTTTTCCATTATTATTATAGCAAATATAAGATATAGTATCGTTAAAATGATTATTTATATCAATAGATGAACAATTTTTAGGTGAATATCGTCCTAAAAGATGACCAGTTGCACCAGATAAAAGAACAAGATTATTTTTCGTTGCTATTTCTATACTTAAAAAATCTTCTACTGTATCTGAATCAATATCTGATAAAATTAAAGGTAGTTTTTCAAATGTATGAATATTTGAACTCCAATGTATAGTTCCTGCAATAGGTTCAATACTAGCCAAAAGGCCTTGATTTCCAACTACTATACAGTCTGGTTTCCCAGATCGATCTGTATCGACTGAAATACAATCAATTTCAGTAGGTAGTCGTTTTAAAGAAACCAACCATAATGGTAAACCACTATTTCCTTGCATGGACATTATTCCTCCTCCTTCTGCTGATATCTGACCTTGATCATTATTTGTATTATTTCCTGTATATTGTTGTCCACGAACCAGGAATATAAGATTTGATGGATTTCCATGTATAATGGAGATAGGACCATGTAACTCTGAAAATATATAATCATGCATTAATTATTATCTTATTAATTTTTTATTAGAATAACATTAAAAACAATCTAATATTAGAATAATTGTCTTTATAATAGAATAGGAGAATCTCTTTTTTTTAAAAATATGTTATAATAAAAGATAAGCTAATTAATTAATTAACTTTACATATGAAAATATAGAATAAAATTTTAAATAATTTTTTCTTGTGCATTAAATTATCGCATAATTTTCAAGGTATTTGCAAAAAATAAATTATTACTATATTGAATTTATATGTATATATGTAACAATATCTTTTGGATTCAAAAGCAAAAATAAAATATAGAATAATTGAGCTATTTTATATTTGAAAAAAATTTATACATTGATGCAATGATTTAGTTTGTTCCTAAATGAGTTCGATTCTTTCAAAAAGTATCACAATTAATTTATTGGTAGACATTTCTTATGTGAGTCTTTATATCATTAAAAATGGTCAATTCTTTTGAAAAATTTTTTAGTTTATATAGCTACAAACAAAATTTAAAATGCTCACATAACATAAATAGTAAATCTAATAATAAATATTTTATGTAAACATATATATATTTATATATA